AAGAAGTAGGACAAGGGTCCTCCCTGCCCATTCAAACCCACTAGGGCTCTCTTCTCCTTGTGCAAACCTAACACCACTGCAAGAAGGCGCGGGTCCCTGAGGGTGGCTGGGCTGGGCAACCTGGGGTCTCACGGTCGGACACCAGCTGAGCCGGAGAGCAGCGAAGGAGGCTCCTTTTCAGAAGACAGCGGGCAGAGGCTGGGAAGTGTTTAAGTCTTGAGCTCACAGATTCTGGGAGCTCAGAGCCAGAGTAGGAGAAGACGGGGGCCTGTAGTTTATTTTATTTGACATTTTTCAATGTCAGGACACTAAAGAGCCAAGGAGGAAACAAATCCCATCTGTTCCTGAGCTCCGAGCGAGCATAGTTCAAGAAGGCAGGCTGCGGAGGGAGTGGAGAGGGCGGAAACAGCCAGCCCCTCTGTCCCACCCCCAACAGAGCAGGGAGCCACCTAAGGAGACACAGGCCACAGCACCCAGGCATGGGGGGATGGTCCCTCACACACGCTCTCGGGTGCTTTGAAGATGGGGGCCTGCGGATTCTAAGGTCGGTGGGCAGATCTCACCACAGGTCCTCTGGATCACAGTTCTGTCGGGCCTGCTGACCTCACAATCTTGGCCATGCAAATGACATCCCTGGGGTTGGGTCAAATGGCAGAACTGCTGCTGGCCAGCCTGGATGCTCCTGTCTACTCCTGTGTCCCTGAGCTCAGACAGGCCACCCATGTACATGGAGAGAAATGGGGACATCAAGAGGTACACCCTGAGGAGGGAAGGGGAGGAGAGTCCTGTGGACACGTGGTCCCATACCCAGCACTCACTGACCTCTGCTCGCTGTCCCGCCCCTCCCCCTCTCCCAGCTCCAGTGCTGCATGCCCAGGATGGGATGAGAGCCTGTGGGACTTATCTCCACACTGAAGTTCCAGACCTCCCTATTTTTAGAAACACAAATTCCTTTTCTCTCTTCAAGAAGTAAGAACGCCCCAAGCTGTCACTGAAGAGAGTCAACAGCCCACTTGAGGTTGTCTGCACTGTCACGATTTGCCTGTCACCTGGGGACAGGGCCAACTCCAGCATCAGGCGGGCGATCGGTCTGGGTGCCAAATCCTAAGAGGACCACTGACAAGTTGAGTCCTTCCAGAGGAGGGTGACCAGAGTCCCGAAGGACCTGGAAACCAGCCCATTTGCAACGAAGCGCTGAACTCAGCTGTAGCGGCACTTGGAAGGGGCGGGGCTGGAGAAGAGACTCCCTGCACTACCACCCACACGCCCGGAGGTGGATGAAGACTAGAGTTAGTCTAGTCGGCCAGGGTGATGGAAGTGGAATGTCAGACAAGTTACAGAGACACAGATTGCTGCCGAAGACTTAGAAGCTACCTGCTGAGTGAACCATCTTTGGAATGGAGTAAGTGCTCCATCACTGGGCCTGAGCAAGGCCAAACGGAAAGCGGCCATCGATCGAGATCCTTGTGCTAGATGGCCGGACGGAGGGGCACAGCAGCACCAGGGAGCTTCAGAAAAATAAGCCTTCTGGGATACCAGAAGCCTGCACTGGTCGGGCTGGGACAGTGTCTGGGATCTGCACGTTCACAAAGCTCTTCACACTAATGATGTGTTAGGACTGGGAAGGGCCCCATTAGACACTCTGTGATGTCACCGCTGACACGGAATCGCTTTGGTCTACGTCTGTGATGACTACTTTTTAAAGCACACCGTTTTATGCACACGTATCCATATACACACTCACACGTGTACGGGCATTTGGGCAGCAGTAGCTGACTCCCCCCTTATCTCTCTCATTTGATGAGCTGCAGATCGAAAATCTGCTCTCTCCCGGCCCTGATAGCACAGTGGTTAGGGCTGTTCACCGAAAGGTCGACAGCTCGAACCCCCCAGCCACTTCTCAAGAGCACGATGCGGTCGTCTACTGCCGTAGAGAGCACAGCCTTGGACGCCCAGTGGGGTCAGTCCTGCCCTGGGTGGCTATGACGCCACCGCAGCAGGTTTAAGCAGACACCCATGGGCAACCCAGGAGAGGGGCTGAGTGTTAACTGGCTTGAGACTGAAGAGCAGTCTCGGAAGAAGCCCCAAGGGGAGCATCTGGGAACATGGAGAGTCCGAGGCGCACGGCATCTTGGCCAGCTCACTCGGAGAGCGGGTGGCCCGGCCGGGAAAGAGGAAGCTGGTGGCAGCTTACTTTCTCTGGGGGTTGTGCAAAGAGCTCTTGGGCAGCAGCAAAGTGCACGATGGGCAGAGGCTGGCCAGGTGGGTGGGCCATTGCCGTGTGGGTGAAGTGTTGCTGGCCACCCTGAGAGGAAAGGGCCCTGTGTTAGGTAGAGGAAAACCGTTCGTTTGTTTGTTTTGGGGAACAGGCCATCTCTAAATGACAAAATGTGTGGGGAAACCACACGGAGATGAGATGACCAAGAGAAGGCTACACAAAGGTGTGCCGGAATCGAGGGGTGCCCCATTTCTAATCTCTCTCTCTCTCTCTCTCTCACACACACACACACACACACACACACACACACACAAAGCGGTTGCTCCTCTTAACATGACTGCTGACTATAAATGGAATCTCCCCAGAACCGGGTGGTTTTCCAGTCCTGGACAAGAAGTGAATGCCAGAGAAACCTTCAAACAAAAAGTGTTTCAGCGTTACCACTGCCAATGGAAGCCCAACCATAAAGTTAACAAACAAACAAAAAATGCTTGTAAGATTATCTGGTAAATCCCCTGGAAAACCTGCAGCAGCATCATTTACAGGACACTCCACGTGGTCTGGTGGTTAACGTGCTGGATAGTTCCTATTCGAACTCCAGGCTCCTGGGGCCTACAGTCGGTGGGTGTGTGGACAGGGGGCGTGCATGCTCTTCTTACTCCCGGCCACAGTGGACGCTGCTGTGAGGGTTGATTCTGGAGGAAAGGCACTAGAGAAAGGGCTGGGGGTGCTTTCCCCAAAGCGCTCCAGGCCCTGCACCACAACATGTATGTGTCCAGATGGCTCAGCTGCTCCTGGGTCTGTCTTTCCCTCCGTGTCTTATTTATGCAACTTCTGAGTCAATCCTGCTAGCAACCTGGGGTCATCAGTGGGTGCCAGGCCCCTTACCTCCTGCGGATAGGCATTCCAGAGGAATAATAGCAATTATAATACTACCAACCAACATTACTGAGCAGTTACAACGAGCCAGGCATTATTCTAAGCACTTAACTTTAATCCTCACACTGACATTCCACTCATGAGATGAGGTCTAACATAACTTACATTTAGCCGGCAGACACACTGAAGTATAGAAAGGTTGCCTTGCCCAAGCTCATACAGCTAGTATGTGCCCAAAGCCTTGCCATCGCCCTCAGACTGGGATCTCTCCAAGAGGTTAGAAGCCCTGTGCCTTCTAACATGTGGGGAATTTTTTGAGCCTGTGTGTGAAGGGCTCTCTCCACCAGTCAGGAAGCTCCCTAAACAAGTGCTCTGTCATATTCCTCAGCCCGAGAGTTCTCTGAGGCCCTTCCAACAACTGGGGGCCTTTCTGGGCCTTTCACCCCCACCCCCCACCCCTGGTCGAGCTTCTCTCTGCCTATCTGACTGCAAGCTCTGAGGGCAGGGCCTGATACGTCCTCAGAGAAAGAGCTTCCTAGGGCAGAGGTGGTGGAAAGCAGAGGCAGGGTAGGGCTCCACCCATCAGTTTCCTCGGCTCTCCTTCTAGCCCACCATAGGCCTCTGGCCTTGGGAAGAGCTTAAGGCCATATGCTGGTTGACCTCTCTGGTCCCAGCTCCAAGAACCGAGCGTGAGGCTGGGCTGGCCCCTGGGATTTCACAGGCAGTAAACAGTCCATTCATGAGTCAGTTGTTTTGCTGCGGAGCCGCCTCATCAGCTGGAACAGGCCCTGACCCGATCCCTCCAAGTTTATCCTCATGGGTGGGGACCAGTGAATGGCCCGGGGCTTGGCACTCAGACTTCTCTGCGGAGGGCTACTTTCCATTCTGAAGTGCTGAGATTTTTATTAGGGAGAGCTGGTCCCTGGGAATAAGATAGTAAGTCCCTGAGAGGGGAAGGTGGGGAAGGGGATATTGTTGCTGTCTTTGCCATCTCTTTGTGGGGGGTGGTCAGTTCTCAGCAAACCAAGGAAGAGTGGAGGTGGCAGTCAGCAGAGGAATGCCCCTGAGAAGCTTCCAGAACCACTGCTGTGGTTCTTTGGTCTCAGGACTTGGACAGTTGGCCCAGAGCTCCCCGAGTCTCTCAGTACCTTGTTTTTTTCCTACTGACTCCCTCACTGCCCAGTCACCTCCACAGGTGACCCCGACAATTACAGGCAGAGGAGCCGAGGGTCCTGAGGGGAATGCGCAGGAGGGACGGTTAAGTAGACTGGAGGCGAGCCTGACATCTAATTCCTGGCAGAAGGTCTGCAGGGAAAGAAGCCTAGAGCTGAGCCAAGAGGGCTGGGACCCCCAGCGCAGGAAGGGGCGTTTCGGACTGCCGTCTCTGTCTGGCCAGCACTTCACTCCCATGATTTCATTTTCTCTTTTCAGCAAGCCCTTGAGGTGGACGGAGGCGGTCTTATTATCACCTTCTTTTGATAAAGGAGGAAGCCGATTAGGTTGCCCACAGTCCCCAGAGCTAAGTTAGCACAAGTGCTGGGGCGAAAACAGGTTGCCAGTCTAGGAGAAAGTTAGGGCTCTCTACTCCCGTGAACAGTTCCGGTCTTGGAAACTCACAGAGTTCGACTCTGTCCTATATGGGTATTGACTCATAGGTTAGGGTTTCTAGGTCAAAGGACCAGGAGGAGGGTGGGGCCACAGAAACCAAGGAGGGAGGTGCCTTCATTGACCAATCATTGCTTGCGATTTAGGCCCCAGCCACTCCAGTCTGGACTAAATCGTATCAGAATCCAGGGGCGGACACAGAACCAGGGCTCCCTTGGGCACGGCCAGGGAACCACAGCTCAGTCCTGTGTTCCGCTCCACTTGTTCCCGGACCCCACCCCGACAGCCCCGCCCTTACCCGGTGGTGATGTCGTCCACTTCCGTCATGGTCTTGCCCATGAGGTCGCTGTCGCTCATGTAGCCGGACTTGAGGTCCACCTCATCCGAGTCCAGAGACTCGACCAGCTCCAGGCGGGAGATGTGGCTGAGCTTGCTGGGGCTGCGCATGGGCATGGTGTGGGAGTACTGCGCCCGCTCCCCGTGCATGTACCAGGCAGGCGTCCCCTCCGAGCGGCAGCTGCCACCCACGGACGGTGCATCGCCCGCCTGCAGCCGCGGGCTGGACTGGCCGTAGCGCCAGGAGAGCGGTGAGGAGCGGTTGGAGAGGCTGGAGACGCTGCGAGGGTTGGCATCGTCGCTGTCATAGCAGGTCATCTCCAGCGAGCTGGGCAGAGAGAAGGGCACCGTTTTACTCCCCAGCTCGGCTGTCTGTCTCTTGTTCCTTCACCCCACAGCCCAGCGATGCCTGCCCTCCACTCCATGAGTCTTCTCGACTGCCCAAGGACAGCCTCACTAGCTCACAGAACTGTGGGGAGCATCTATGGTCAGTCCAACCCCATCCTGCTATTTGGAAGGTGCTCAACCAGAAGCGGCTTATGGGACCTCTTGGGGAGGTGGGAGAGACTGGTTACCTGAGCTTCAGGGAGATTGATGATTCTTTTCAGTGAATGGGCGGATGAGAGCGAGTTGCTAAAAAAGGGCCAAGGAAAGTCTGGAGAGGAGGGGAGGTTCCGAGAGGCTTTGGGAACAGGAGGTGTAGGACTGGCTCCCAGTCACAGGCCTGGGGCAGCAGGGGAGGAGGCAGAGCCTCCCCAGGGAACAGAAGCAGGCTTCACTAAACAAAGGGGAGAATCCAGGGAGATGTATGAGGGGGTGAAGGTGGGGTGTCCACAGTCCAGAGCCTCCAGGTCTGCTAGGCTGGGCTAAGGAAGCAAGGGCAGGGTTAGTGCAAGATAGCCAGGCGCTAGGGCACTCAGAGGGCCACAGAGCGAACTGCATCTGGGATCTGTTTGGAGGTAAGACCTGGCTTGGGGCTGAGGGAAAAACAGCGAACTCTACTCTACCCAGCCCCACTCTGGTATGTCTCTTGGTCCAATGAAGCCAGGCAAGGCTGAGGAAATGAAATGGGGTGTCACCACTTGGCTGTCAATGTCTCCTGTGGTGGTGGCTTGTGTGTGGCTGGGATGCTGAAAGCTATGTCCCTGGTATTTCAAATACCCAAGTGAGCAGCTTTCAGCCGAGTTTCCTACGAACAGACTATGCAGAGGAATCGGCTCTCTGCTTCAGAGGACTCAGTCACCGAAAACCTTATGGATGGCATCGAAACGTTGTCAGATTCTGAAGATCTCATGAACGGAAGCAGACCATTGTCAGAGGCAGTGCCAGCAGATGAGCCCCTCAGGTCAGAAGACAACACTCAAAACACGAGGAAGAGCCGCCTTCCTCGAGCCCATGCTAACGATGTGGATGGAGGAAAGCCGGTGGGAGTTATAGCCTTTGGGACCTTCGTGTGCTGATGAGGCACTAGACTCTATATGAGAAGAAACAGCTGCAAGCATCAATTAATAATTGGAACTTGGAGTGTATGAGGTATGAATCTAGGAAAACTGGAAGTTGTAACAAATGAAATGGAATGCATAAAAATAGTATTCTGGGCAGTGAGCTGAAACGGACTGGTATTGGCCATGCTGAAGCAGCAAATCATCTGGTTGACTACGCCAGCAATGACGAGATTCAGGAGGAATGGCATCACATTCATCATCAAAAAGGACATTTTTAAGATCGATGAATTAAAAAAAAAGATCGATGGATTACAATGCTGTCTGTGATAGGATTATATCTATACACAAGGAAATCCAATCTGTACAACTATTATTCAGATTTATGGACCAACCACTAAGGGTAGTGATGAAGAAAGTAAAGTCTAACAATGTCTTCAGTCTGAAACTGATCAAACATGCGATTAAGATGCACTGATAATTGTCAGTGATTGGGATGCAAAAGTTGGAAACAGAGGAAGGAACAGTAATTGGAAAAGAGGGTCTTGGTGATACAAATGAAGCTGGAAATCACAAGGCAGAATTGTGCAAAACCAACTACTTGTTCATTGCAGAGATCTTTTTTTCAACAACCCAAAAGATGACTATACACATGGACTCCTCCAGATGGAACACACAGAAGTTGACTGATTACATCTGTGGACGGGATGACGGAGAAGCTCAGTGTTGACAGCTATAACCAGGTCAGGGGCTGACTGTAGCACGGACCATCATTTGCTTATATGTAAGTAAGTTCGGGTTCAAGCTGAAAAGAATTAAAACAAGGTCATGAAAGCCAAAATCTCACCGAGAGTCTATCTCACCTGGATTTCGAGAACACCTCAAGAACAGACTAGACACACTGAAGACTATTGACAGAAGCGCTGTGATGAGAGTTCTAATGACAGAAGCGCTGTTGGGGGACGTCGAGAACATCATCCATGAAGAAAGCAAGACGTCGTGAAAAAGCTACCAAAGAAAGGAAAGATCAAAGTGGATGTCAGAAGAGACCCTGACACCGGTCCTTGATTGTAGAGCAGCTAAGGCAAATGGGAGAAATGGTGAGCTCAAAGAGCTGAACAGAAAATTTCAATGGGCAGCTTGAGAAGACCAAGTAAAATATCATAATGATGCGCAAAGATCTAGAGTTAGAAAAACAAATGAATCACTGAAGACAAATGGGTACATAAGCAAATGTGGCGAAAAAAGCTGATGGTGCCCGGCTATTAAAAAGTATAGCGTCTGGGGTCTTAAAGGCTTGAAGGTAATCAAGCAGGCATC